CTTGATTTCGCCTCCGTACAACGGGCCAACGCCGAGATGGAACGGCGTTGCCAAGAAGTGATTGACCGCTGCTGGCAAAAGGGCGAAGATAACCCGATTATTACCATCCACGACATCGGTGCAGGCGGCTACTGCGTGGCACTTAGCGAATTCGTACATGATTCCAACCTCGGGGGAAAATTCGAACTCCGTGATATTCCAAACGCCGATATGTCGATGTCGCCGATGGAAATCTGGTGCAACGAAGCACAGGAACGCTATGTACTTGGTATCGATGAATCGAACCTGGCAGAGCTTGAAGCGATGTGTGAACGCGAGCGTTGTCCGTTCGCTGTGGTCGGTGAAGCAATCGCCGAGCCGCAACTTATCGTTACCGACCGCCTGCTGAAAGAAACGCCAATTGATATCCCTATGAGTACACTGTTTGGTAAACCACCAAAAATGACACGTGAAGTAGCCACGGTAAACCCTGCATTTCCAGCTTTAGAACTTGAGAATATTACTATTGCCGAAGCAGCGAGGCGTGTGTTGCAATTACCCGCTGTTGCGAGCAAGAAATTCCTCATCACTATTGGCGATCGCAATGTTGGCGGACTTATCACCCGTGACCAAATGGTTGGTCCGTGGCAAGTGCCAGTTAGCGACGTTGCGGTTGCAGCGAGCAGCTTCAAAAATAACTTTGGTGAAGCTATGGCAATGGGGGAACGCGCACCGGTCGCTTCTATAAACTCACCGGCCAGCGCTCGCATTGCAATTGGCGAAACTATAACTAACTTGCTAGCTGCAGACATTGAAAAGCTTTCCGATATCAAGCTTTCCGCTAACTGGATGGCTGCGAGTGGCGATCCACTCGAAAATCAGCGATTATTCGAAACTGTGAAAGCGGTCGGCGAGGAATTCTGCCCTGCACTTAATCTGACCATCCCTGTAGGTAAAGACTCTCTTAGCATGAGTACCTCTTGGAAAGAAAATGGCAAAAGCAAAACCATTACCAGTCCACTCTCACTCATTAGCACTGGCTTTGCACCAGTAAAAGACGTACGAAAAACGCTTACGCCAGAACTACAGCTTAACGGCAAGCCAACTTCACTCATTTTAATAGACCTTGGTAAAGGCAAAAACCGTCTTGGCGGATCAGCGCTTGCACAAACATATGGCCAACTTGGTAATGAATCTCCAGACATTGACCCCGAAACACTAGGCACGTTCTTCAAAGA